CAAGATGTCCAGGGCGGACTGCACGCGATCGTTCTTCAGGCTGGGCACCTCGATGAGAGACTCGAGGTTCTCAATGGCGGCCTGCCGCTGGACGAGCAGCAACTTCCTGATGCCAACGCACCTCGGCCCCGTGGGAGTGCATGAGCTGCACGCAAACCACCCTAGCGGCGTGACCACGAACTCGCCTGCGTTGACCGTCGTCCAGCAGCAGCCGATCTCCTTCTTCTCGCACCACTCCTTCGCTGTGCTCGTGCCGACGCTCTTCAGCATCGCGGACGCCTGCTCGATGAAACTTGCCCCCCTGAACGGGCTGCCCCATCTTGCTCTTCAGGTCGGCACCCTTGAGGTATATCACCTTCATGCTGCCCTCGTAGAAGTACTTGGCACTTCCCATCAGATCTGACTCGAAGCCCATGTCCACGTAGGTTGGGAGAAGCCCGAAAAACCAAATCCTCTCCGACGCTGCATTCACCACCGGGTGCTTGGTCACATCTGCAAACTTGGACTTGGGTGCGACTACCTCGAAGATGGGCGTGACGTCTGCTAGGCCATGCGACTCTTGCATGGGAGCCGTAGCTTTGTCACCTCTGGCTCGCTGCGGCAGGGAACTTCTCGGAGTACCTGCTGAGGCCCGTCTTGACGTCTTCTTTTGCGAGTGCTGCAACCGCAGTGGCCGACGCCTTCAGCTTGAAGGGGCTGTCCATGATGTCCGCGCTGGTCTGCAGCTCCTCCTTGAGCTTCTCCTCGCTGTCGTAAGTGGCCACCTCTGGGCAGCCGACAGAAGACCAGCCGATTGCGAACACGCCAGACGAGAGATTCCTCTTGGAGCTCCCATTGATTGCATCCGCGAATCTGCCCTCTTCCCCCCCTTGCCCCTTCTCTCCATCTCCCTCGCGGGGTTGCGGATTGAAGAGGACGGGGAGGGAGAGGCCAGATTGATGAATACATTTGGGAGCTCCGATCCTCTGCGTGGTGATCTGCTTCCTCAACGCTGCCGCAGCTGCTGAAGCCGCAGAAACCGCCGCCTCTCGTGCTTTTGATTCATCTGCTTGTTGTCTGGCAGCAATCTTCTTCATGTGGTTGGCGTTCGAGGTCTTGGCAGCCTTGGCGATGGTGATGATGCAGTTGCGGAGCTGCTCCATGCTGGATTTGAAGTCCTCCATCGCTGATTCGGCATCCTCGATCTCCTTTGGTGTAGTAGCTGACCGGATGCTCTGGCACCGCTCGTTCATGCGTTTCATCCAAACGATCTTCGAGGTGTCGTCAACGGGCAACAAGCAAGCTGAGGCGAGCATGTTCTTCAGGATGTAGTCGCAGAACGTACCCTCGCTGTTGAGGTGCTCGGGGAAGTCCATCTCCTCTTGACCCTCCGTCTTCTTGAACTGGCCCTTCATCTTCTCCAGCAACTCTGTCACGCTGTACTCGCTCTCTGTGATGCTGCCGCTGGTAGAATCGTACTCGATCTTTTTGTCAAGGACGCGACATCCGAGATCAAACCGTTCCTGCAACATCATCTTCTCCTCGGCACTAGCATTTGGGCACGTCGCAATCGTCTTGCAGGCCACTGCCAATGCCTTCATCAGCTTGGACTCCTCGGAACTTAACGTTTTCCTCTGTGTCTCAGCGATCGTCAGCCTCGTAACACCCACGTCGAACTTGACATTGTCCTGCCCCTTCTGCTTCTTCGCGAACGGCTGCGTGGATGCTTCATCTGCTGGATCTTTGGCTGCTGCGTCGCCAGCGCCTTCGGCACCTGCTGAGGGCTTGGACGCCCCGTGCTTGACCATGATCTCGGCTGCGAGCTTACCAGCATCACCTGCGTTGATAGCCCGACTCGATGGCGCCTGCACTGCGCTGATGGTGCTGGCATGCGCTAGTGAATCAAAACCTCTCTGACAATCCTTGACTGCGCTGGCGACGGCTTCATCAGTCATGGCCTTGCCCTTCGCCGACTTGGTGATCATCTCCTGCGCGTGGAAGTTCGTCGTCTTCTGCTCGAGCTTGTCTTCGCCCACCAGCCACGCTGGAACAGGAAGGCGAAGTGGGCTTTCAGGAGGCCCGCGCATGTCCTTCTGGTCGTCAGGCGTGTCCATCTCGAGCGCTGCCCACTCATTGTTGCAACGAGCCTCCGTCCAAGGCCGGAGCACCTGCATCTTCCTCACGAAAAACTCCTTGTCCCACATGGGCCTGGCTGCGATGTCAGAGTTCTCCCTCTGAGTGCCCTTGCGACTGATGTAGTTGGACAACCTGACGTCGCTACCACGCGACTGGGTAGACCTGCTGCTTTGGGCGTCTTCTATGTCTGGGTGCTTGGCGAGGATGTCGGTCATCACCTCGTCGGCTAGCTCCCAATCTGCACCATGCGGCTCACCGCCCTTCCTGCCTGGCTTGTAGCCGAAGATCTTCTTGAAGGACCTGGACTCCTCGTTCTCCGTCTCGGGCTTGGCGTGATTCACCCCCTTGAACGCGCGCCGCTCCAAGCACTCGTAGACGCGATGGTGTTTGTTGCAGAACTTCTTGTTTCCATCAATCTCGTCTGAGCAGGAAGGAAGCGGGCACGGCTTGCCAGTCGACCTGCGCCTTGGCTGCTTCGCTGGCTCGCCCGCGGCTGCGTCTGGCTCCGCTGCCCTCTTTCTGATGCCGTTGCCTCTGAGGGCGGCGATAGCGGCGCGGGCGCCGCCAGCAATCTCCCCCCCCGACTCGAACTCGCTGAAGCCGAACTCGTCATCAAACGAGGCGCTGCCCTTGCCCGCGCTGCTGACAGCATACTTGCTGCTTGAAGCATCCATCAGCTCGGACATGACTGAACCTTGAGTGCCTTTGTCATCTGGTGTCTGAGGCAGGGCTGGAGCGACGAAATCTTCTTACCGCGATCATCAGCGTCGGGGACGGCGCCATCTGCAGCGGCGACTGGTTCGGTTGCGGACATCTGTGCTGCGTCTGTGCCGCTGGCCAACTTAGGCCTTCACCCCGGAGAGCCCGCTGAGACGAAACCCTACGCAGGTGAGAGCATGAGCAGTCGAAAACGCATGCTTGAATACAATCGTGTCTGAAACAGCACCTCTGCAACAACCTTGCAACGAAAGTCATTGGAAGAAATCTCTGTCCACATTTTTGAGGCATTGATCCCTCGAACTGTCGCCTCGCAACGCTCGCGATCGAGCTGGCGACTACGACTTGAACAACTTAGCAACCGACAACGGAGGCCCAATGATGGCTTCAAGACGGCCTCGACGAAGGCCCACCAAGACGGCCGCCAAGACTGCCCACCAAGACGATCCACCAAGACGATCCACCAAGACGATCCTCCAAGATTGTCCACCAAGACAGCCCACCAAGACTGCCACCAAGACGGCCCCCCAATACAACGCCCAAGAAAGACGAGAAGGACGTGGAGGCGGCTCAGGGGTAGGGTGGAGGAGAGAGGGACCCCTGAGAGGAGCAGGAGGACGAGGGAGCATGAGTAGGAGGAGGGAGGAGGAAGGGAGGGAGAGATAAAGACAATAACGACAAGGAGGTAGTGGGAGCGTGGGAGCAATGCAGAGATGCGGACGGCACGCGCCGCGCGTGGCGGCCGCGGCGCCTGCCTTGCCCACGTCGTTGGTCACCAGAGGAGCGGGGCGGGGGCGCGGGCGGCGGCGGCATCGGGGGGGGATCGAACGTTTGACCCCCTGACGTCCCCTCTCTTTTACTGCGACCTGCTTCTTGTCTTGTTTGCTGACTTGTTGCGGGTTGAGTATTTGCTCCATGTTTTGTTTGTTGTGGTTGTTTGTCTCCTAGATGATTGGGTTGATTTGCCCCAGCGCTTAGAACCTGACCTAATCTACCTCGCCTCACCTGAACGCCTATTCTAACATAGCCTATGGCCTGTGACGAATGAGAACAACGGTTGACTGCAACATGTCGTGTGGGTAAGGCCATGCTGTTTGTAGTTTTGGGTGGATGGGTGGGATTATTTGGCCGTCCTCTGTTTGAAAGTCAAGCTTGTTATCTTTTAAACCGTTTGTTGATACGTGTTTTCCTAGCACGCGTGGACAGAAGTGCATGTAGTCTTCAACTCTGCAACGCTTCAACATGGCTCAATCCAACAAAGTCTGAGGATCCTCAGGGGCTCAGGGGAAATCATTTGCCCAGACCGATCGGATACATCTCGCTTCTAGTCCCCTTCTCTCGTAGCGAGCTCTCAGCTCGCCTTGGCATCTAAGATGCCTGCTAGATAACTACTCTCGCGGCGACAAGCTTTCAGCCAACAGCGACTGATTCCTCATGGCGCAGCTGGCGCAGTTCCAAGGGCCGAGCGGCCGCCCTGGTGGGGCACGGAGTCCGCCGTGCCAGCGCTGCTGCTGCTGGGCGCGCTCAGCGGGGGCGCCATCGACGAAAGCACATCCCGCCGGATGGTGTTGGACGCTATGTAGATGACCCACGCCTCCTCGGCAGCCAAGTGCATCCCATCTCCAAGAGCGCACGACTTTATCGAGGGGCCTTCTGACAAGATGCGCTCGGAGAAGCTATATGGGTTCGGCTTCGGGATCAGGCTGTCATCATCCTTGGCATCCTCCTTCGGGATCTGAATGACTGGCCAGCCCATCGCAAAGAAGAGTTCGCGAGGTGTGAAGATGTGCACCTGGCTCACGTTCGCGATGGAGAGCTCCACCATCTTGGTATTCTTCTGGATTGTAGGCATCCAGTGGCCAAAGCGGCCAGAGCGAACTCTGGGGTTGAACGTCGCGTCTGCCACCATCGTCTCGACCCCCTCGGCAATGCAAGCGGCCCTCTCGTGGTAGGCCAGGAAATTGTCGACCGCATGCGGAGGCAGATGCTGCCAAACTGGTTCGTTCTCATCATAGTCACCCCCCTTCAGGGCCGCGTGCTCCTTGATAACCTTCTCGATGTTGTCCTCGGAGTCGATATTGGCAAAGATGCTGGCTGTGGTTGTCACCTGCTGGTGAAAGATTCGCAAGAAGTCGTCTGTCACGTCGTTCTTGTGCATAGGCCCCACCCAAGCGAGCTTGTCGAGACGAATGGCTGCGGCCCTGAATCGAAGTCGTGCCACTGGCCACCCCGGATCGTTAGGCCCGAACTTGGAATACACGATCTTGTGGGCATCCTTCAGCGCCTCCTCGAACAGGATCGGGGGATAGCGATGCGATTGCTCCATGAAGACCAAGTCAAAGTGCTTCGCCTCCTCCAGCCATGTCTCGTACGCTGGGATCGTCTTATCAGTAAGCTTCTGCTTCTTGCCAGTTGGGCACCACGGGATGCATGGCGGCGAGCCCCAGTTCACTCGCAATGGCCCGAAGTTATCAATCATGGACTGCTCAAGCTCCTCGGTTTCCCCATAACGAACAGGGACGTGCACGCCTGGCTTGAGCACGCTGTTCGGACTGGTCTTGCCCCACGCATAGAATGCGGCGAAGTGCTCCTTGAGGTAGTCCTTGAAGTCCCTGTACCATTTTTGGAGATCACTTGGATACCCACTGGGAGGCCTCTGCGGTAGATCGTGAACGGAATCATTCATGTGGAGCTGCTCAACCGTCTTGAACACGTGGGCTGGTCTCATATCATCCTCGTGGATCAGGAGGTCCTTCAACGCTGGGATGGGCTCCGTCGCGCGATAGAACATAAGCCACTCGTTATCCAGGCCGACCTTCTTGAGCTCCGTCTTGATCATCAGCATGACGGCTTCAGCCCCTTGCATCCCGCTGAAGTCAGTGTGCAGGGCAACGCCGTACTGGAAGAGACTCAGGACTCTTATATTTCTCAGCTCGCCCTCCTCCCCACTGAACGCTGTGTCCATGCACCGCTTCGTGTGATCCTTGAACTCTGAAAGCGACGATGGCCCGCTTGGGAGGTGCTTCGTCATATTCTTGTATTTCGCGCAACCTCCCTTCACAGAAAATAGCTTCCTTTGCAAGCCCTGTGGTGAGTAGCCGTCCCATGGGTTGTCGACGTCGTCAAAGTCGGAGTCAGTTGCGATGAGCGCCGGGACGTCCTCCTGCTCAACCCCGTCGCCTTCGCTGTCACCGTCGCCGCTGTCAGCAGCGACGTGCTGTTGCCGTCCCCCAACATTGTGAACGCTGTGCTGGCTGTGCTGGCTGAGGCTGATGTCCGCGTCACCGTCGTGGTCCAACTTGAAGTCATTCTCCTCCAGGTCCACTGCAACCGCTGGCGCTGGCACTGGGGAGCGAGACCTCGATCGCGGCTGCACCTGGGGAATCGGCCTGTTGAACCCGGCGCCCGCGCGGGCGCCCTGCGCACTGGCTGCGGATGACGGGCGCGACTCAGCCGCTCGCGAATGACGGGGCTGCGGGGCCGCCGCGCACCTCGGGCATCCAGGCCACCGCGGCGACTTTTCGCTCGCCGCGCGCACCCCGCCGCAGAGGCGCGCGCGCGGCGCGGGTGGCCGAAGCGAAGCGGGCCGCTTGAAAATCGCGCGGCGCGGGCCAAGGCCTCCGCCGGGCCCCCGGGCCAACGCGTCAAAACGCCGAGCCCAGCAGGCAACGCGCAAGCGCCGGGGGCGACGCTCGCCGACCGCGCCCACGCAGGCCCAACATGCCACGCACAGGCGCCGCGGGCGACGCGCGTCGACCGCGCCCGCGCAGGCGCCCGCGCGCGGGCGACAAGCGCAACTCGCACGCCGCGCCAAACATCGGAAGCCCGCGCGCAACGAGAACGTTCGGGGCCACTTCGCGCCCGGAACTCAGGGCCAGACACGCGGGCGCCAGCGCGGGCAACGCAGGTCACCAGAGATCTGCGACACGCGTGCTGGGAGCTCACTTGCAACGCGGGCGTTTCGCCCTGGCAGCGCAGGCCCGCCGCGCGAGCCCGCCGCGCAACATGGAACCGAAAGCCCCCCAGCTCCGCCGCCATGAACGCGGCGCTGGGGGGCCCGATGCACCCTCCCGGGCCGATCTCGCGGCCCTCTCTCGGAGCCTTCGCCGGCCCCTCTTGGAGCCCCCTGACAGGCGCCTTGGGCCCCGAGCGGCGCCCCGAGAAGGTCGATCGATTTTCTGTTTCAGCATCGGGCCCCCCGCGACATCGAACGGCGCCGCCCACCTCCCGCGCCCCTCCGCTACGGGCGCGGCTGGGAGGGGGAAACGCTCGCCAATTCCTCATGGGGGACCGCGCAACATCGGGCACCTCGCCGCCGCCGCGCTTCGCCGCTATGCACGCGGCACTGGGGGTGTCCAATCTGGGGCACCTCCTGGGCCCCTCTCAGGGCCCTCTCGGAAGCTTCGGGGGCCCGCAGGACCCCCTGGCGGCAATCTCGGGCCATGGGCCACGACAAACCTACCTGCTGAGCCCCCCCCCCCCCCGGCGCGGCGGGCGCGGCGCGCGGGGGGGCGGGCGGCGGGCCCTAGTTTCCCCCATGGAAGAAACAACGTCGAAAGCCGAGTCGCCGCGCCCCCGCGGCCGCGCTCGCGTCGGCGGAGCAGGGGGGGAACTGGCAATTCGATGTCGCGCGGCTTCCGCGCGACGCGCCGAACAGCAACCCTCTCGGGGCACTCTCGGGGCCCGAGGGCCCCCGAGGAGCTCCAAGAAGCGACGGCCTTCGAAAGCCCGTCGACGGTCCAAGACGACCCCGCGACGGCCCTCAGACACCCATCGCGCTGCCAAGAACGGCCCGAAAGACCGCCCGCAAAAGCCCCGGGACGGCGCCGGAGGAACTCGAGGCGGCCAGCCCCCCCCCCCCTCCCCCGACGCAAGGAGATAAATCAGCCGAGAGATGTTCTCAGACGTCGAATTTCACGTGGGCGCGCATGATTCGGCCGCCCAGGCCAACGCGCACTTGTTGTGCGATTGCTACAACTTAGCTATATTGGTAGGCGCTGGCAAATTGCCAGTTGAAGCGCGGTGCCGAACACGTTGGGAACTGATCATCGGCAACGCGGTGGCGCAACATCAGCCGAGGTTTTTGGGCGCCAGAACATTTTGTGTACTGAACTGAAACGACTCAAAGCCAAGTGGGCGCAGCTCCCATGGCTCAAGATAACAACCCTATGTCCCCCCCTCCCGCGACGCGCGATGACCCGTGACATCTGGCAACAACCGCGGTGACACAAAGATAGCACACATAAACAACTGTGGTTCGTGAAGAACTGGTACAGGGCAACCTGCAAACTGTCCAAGGGCAACATCAACATCCTTATGCAACGATTGAACATCGCTGTTCGCACGCACTTGAAAGAGGGGGCGCCAGCCGTTAGAAGTCATCTTGGTTGAACGAGATGCGTTGGACATTTTGTTCGTCGGGCGCCATGCGCATCCGCGCAACTGGGCGACGTCTCAGTTAGAACAACGCAGACGCACGATGAAATTTGTGCTTCCAATATGCGCGCGACGAATTTTGCCGTGATTAGCGAGAGGGCATGCCGTTGACAAGTTATACATATATAGACGCAACGCTCGGAACGCGAATTGTCGATTCAACAACTGTTCTGGGAATGTGCAACGATGGCCAAGCCATTTTTCCAACGCGCAACGCATGTTTCTGTGAGTCTGGAAGATTTCGCGGTTCGTGCCAACAAGACGTCTCATCTTGAATAAAGTCGTATCTGCGAATATGAGTGGGCTAACGAGTTGATTTGTCGGACGCTCTGTTTTCGTTGGACTGTTGTTTGTTGTATCCTTGTCCGCAGTTGACATTGAACGTCCTATTCGAATAGGGCTGCAGCTGCGAATGCTTGACCGCGTGGTTTTATTTGATTGCGTGACGCGGGTGGACGCGCATCCGTTCCACTCGTCTCACACGTTATAGATTTGCGATGAAAATGGAAAACACGTCTTTTCACCAATAACCTAATTGATTGCGCATGTAGTGAAACACTGCGCTGCGACTTATATGATTTCATATGACGCAGCGATGATTTCAAGCGATTCGTCTGCGCAGAAACACAATGACATCTGCATGCCACAAATGCTGATGTTTTCCATGTAAAATATACGATGTCGCGCGCATCCGACAACCCAAACAGAAACAGGTAGAACATAAGAAACACCGAAACTTCCCCGGCGCTGTTTTGTTGTTTCTCTGGGGCTTGATGGCGCGCGCACAATCGGTTCAGCCCGGTCGCTCCTGCCCGCCTTGCAGCACTTGCCCCTGGAATCATTCTTTCCACTGCGGGGAGCGGTCCTTGCACGGCGATTGCAAAATCCAATCGCAATTCGGACGGGAACTCCTGCGCGGAAAGGAATAGCACCCCACCCTTCGAGCTGCATGGGCGGCGGCGAGATCAAAACAAAGAATAATGCATCGCATGCAAACTGACATTCGGAAGTCCGCGCGGGTTCGTTGGATCGGAGCCCCCTGGCGACGCCTCCGGAACCGCCCCTAGCGCCGCGCGTGCCGGCGAAAGGAATCATCGCCAATCCCAGAACAAACGGTCGGATTTCCTGGAGCTCGCGAAGCCAGCGATTGGGTCATATTCGATGTGATTCGGAAGAAGATTCAGGGCTACAGCTACGCCTCCCCGCCCCCCCCCTCGAGAAGTTGCAGGTGGCGGAAGTGGGGGGGGAGGGGGGGGGGGGGGAATGCTATGGAATGCTATGAGAAGGGGCAAGCGTCCAAGCCTCAACCCTGGGCCCCCCACGGCGGCGCGCAAGCCGCTCGCGCTGGGGCCCCTACCGCCGGAGACGATCCACCGACCCACGAGGGGCCCTCACCAATCCGCCGACCCTCATGGGGCCCTTATCCATCACTCCACTCCGAACTGCACGCCCACGCGTGGCGACGCTCATGGCTTACCGCCTGCATGGCCTTTTCAAGCTTCCGCAGGGCGATCTGCGCCGCCGCGAATGTCTGAAAGGGCCTCGCCGTCGTCGCGCCACTTGCCCCCCTCAGCGATCTTCGCAATAATATCCCGCTCCAGGTTGCAGGCTAGTTTCATCAAGAGGGGGTTGACGATTACCTCAAGCTTCTTCTGCCTACCCTCGAGCGCAACCTTCCCTTCGGACTGGGCGTTTCCCAACCAGTCAACGGTGTGATCGATCGCCTCCTCGATATTATTCTGGTCGCCGTCGTCAAGGTTGTCCTTGAAGTCCGCCTGCAGGAGTGTGTCGTGCACTGTGGAGCAGTAGCTGACGAGGCGGCGCACCGCCTCCGACCTCTCCTCGGCGTGCTTCGTCAATTCATTGGCCTTCTTCGACTCCTCCATGGCCTTCTCCTCGGCGAGCTGCACCTTGCGCTCAGCCTGCTGCATCGCCTCCTCGGCTCGCTTCAACATATCCTCAGCTTTCCTGGCCATCTGCTCGGCCTGCTGCAGCTTCTCCCTGGCCTTGGGGGTCGTCGCCATGGCCTGCTCCGACACGTTGGCCTGCTCCGCATTCCTCTCGACCTGAATGTCGGCGTCGGCGACCACCTGGCCCGCCGCCGCGGCGAGACCCGCGTACGACGAGTGGGCCGCCGCATTCCGGTGCTCGGAGGCACGCCCCAGCCTGCCCGCCACGGCTTGGCCTGGGGCCCCCAATCCGCACAGCACCTCCTTGGCGTCCTTGACGGTGCGCGCGATTCCCGTCATGTCGCTCACCATGCTGACCACCGCCTGGACCTCATCCAGCGCGCTGGACTCGCACACGTCCTCAGCCGCCGCCAACGCCGCCGAGGCCTGCGCTGCCCCGCGGACGGCCGCGGCCACGAGCGTCGCGAGCCCTTTGCCCGAGAAGCCCATGCCAATCGCCGCCGCCGTGGTCCCGAACGCGGCCGCCGCCGCAGGGCAGCCCGCCAGCGCCTCCGCCAGCGCCGACTCCATCACTCGCCTCGCGCGAGGCGCACCGCCCATGGACGGCCCGCCGCGGCCAGCTCAGCCCCACGGCTAGGAGGGATGGAGGGAGGAGCGAGGAGGGAGAGAGGAGAAATGAGCACGGAGGAGAAGGGAGGAAGGAAACGGGACGGGGGAAGGAGGAAGGGTGAAGGAGGAAACACGGGGGAAGGAGGACGGAGGAAGGAGGGGGGCAGGAAGTTGAGAGGGATGTCCCCGTCTCCTGCGCACCTCCTCCCACTACTCCCGACGCGTCTCGGCCCCATCGCTCGTCCGGTCTCTCCCCACGTTCCCCTTGCCTCCCTCCCCTCTCCCTCGTCCCTCCCTTTTCCCTTCACCCCCCCCCCTGCCTCCCATTCTACAACTTCTCAATCTGAATACTACCCTCCTCCTTCCCCTGATGACGGGTTGGGAGTGTTCGCCCCCCCCCTCCCTGGCGTATTGTTTGTTTACACACAGGATTCCCCGGAGTTGGGTTTTCGCCTGCATTTGTTTTCAAAATGCTGCTCTCGCTGAGGCACCGGCCTCATTTTCGGGCCCCGCTCGTTCCGAGTCGTGCTCCCGCTGCAGCGCTG